TACCAGGCTCGGCTCGCCCAGTAGGACACTCGACGACCGCGAACCCCCCGCCTCCCCGCCCGCCGGACACGACTCAATGACATCTCCGGGCCTGCCTGCCAAGGACAGTGATGCCTCGGCCGAGTTGGACACGCAACCGACTGAGAGCTCAACACCGCCTGCGAGAACTTCTACGCTGTCGTGGCAAAGACGGCCCGCATCGCGGGGTGGTGCCCGGCCCTTGAGCATGGTGGCGGCCCAAAATGCGACCCAGAGGTCTCTGGCCGGGTCGCAGGAGCCAGCATCTGCCACCGAAGAAACCTTCTCCAAGGATCAGATTGCCAAAGCTCTGGGCTCCAAGGATCCTTCATGGTTCCGACAAACGGCGGATCGCGGCCAGAACTCTGCTGCATACAGACGTAGTCAGGTTGAGGACGAGGACCGATTAGATATGTCCTCGGTTAGGGCACAGCTGCCGGGCATGTCTCTTACAAATCCGGTTTCAAGTTCAAGAAGCTCTCCCTCGCCGCAGCCTAGTCCAGAACCGCCAAGTCACTCAGGACTTGCCTCGCCGGTCACGTTCAACCCCCCGCGGTTCGATACTGCATCTGCTGAGAAACAGCCAACTCAGGAGCCTGCGCCGTTATCTGGACGGGCATCGCCCACCCGGTCGCCATCACCTACCAAGGGCCTTGGTGGTTTTGTCCAGAGTGCAATGATGAAGCGTAGCGATAGTGTCAAGCGATGGAGTGTCACGAGCCCTCCAGGCTTGACACGAGCGGACTCTGTTGCTGCCACGCGGGGAGCTAGATCGTCAGTTCACATGGGCTCCAGGCCTCAGGGCACCGTACGAAGAGACTCTGCGACACCGACCTCAAGCAGACCAACCTCGCAACACGGCGACAAGCCATCTGACCTTGGAGATATCTCCAAATCGTCAAGCCTGATGTCAATAGACACAGGCCGTGGCGAGGAAAAGGATGAGGATGCCGGCATTCCATCCAGTCCATCAAAAACCATGGATCCTAGGCGCTGGAGTCCCACCAAGTCAAGTTGGCTTGAAAATGCGTTGAACCGACCAGAGTCACCAAAGCCATCCCCGACGACTGCCCAACCCACTTGGAGGAATAATGCCAATGCAGAATCAAGTCGACCAAAATCTGTCTCACACAAGCACCAGGTTAGTATTGGAGGTCTCATGAGGCAATCGGCTGTCGGAAATGTAGCTAAATCCAACCCTACTGGTTTGGGAGGCATTTACTCACCGCCGCCAAATGCAAATCGACCTGCATATGGGCAAGGGTCAAAATCCAGCACCGCACAACAATCTGACCCGGATTTATCAAGGCCAGATGAGATGGCTGATAAGGAGGATGTCAAGCCGACAGACAAGGAAACCACCTCCCCAAATGCTACAAAACACACGCCCGTCATGAGCCCGCCGCCTCTCAAACCCAAGCCGCAAACCCCGCCAACGATGGACTTCAGGTCAAACTTGAGGCAACGTCCTGCAGAAAAAGACACACCCAAGTCTGGTGAACCGGAATTCAAGAATGTCTTTGGCAATCTGCGCAAAACCAAAACCCAAAACTACGTTGCTCCTGATGAATTGAAAAACAATATTCTTCGCGGGAAGTCGGCTCTTAACGTAACCGATGGCCCGAAGAAGAGCGAGAGGAAAGACGAGTTCAAAGACGCAATCTTGAAGAAGAGGGCCGACTTTAAGGCTGTTCAGTCTGAGGGCCGAGGGGTCACGAGAGCATCAAGCACTGCTTCTGAAAGGCCATTGCCCGAGGGGCTGGCCAAGAGGGCAGAGCTGAGCAAATCTGTGGCAGCGATGGCCAAGAAGAGCAACGTTCCAGAAACACCAACTCCTACTCCCACCAAAAAGGAGGATTCACCAAAGCCTGCCCCCGCTCCAAAGAGAGTCCCGAGCGGATCGGCATTCTCCCCAAGATCGCCTAATACAGCAATACCCCCTGCAAGGAGCCCAAGTACCGAGAAGTTGAGACGGGTGTCCACAGAACCTGAGGCGGCAAAGACTACGGTTGAACCACAAGCAATGCCCACGCTGCAAAAGGAAATGAGTGCACCTTCCAAGTTGGCGGCTCAGAGTCGAGTTGTCGGCGGCAAGTTGGCGGATCGATTTAACCCAGGCTTGGCAGGTATGCTGGCTAGAGGGCCGCCTCCCATGGCCACCAATGGTGGTAGAAGCTCTGAGGAGACTGGTGACGACAATGGCAAGCCAGGTTTCTGTGATGCTACTGAGCCATCTGCTCCTGGACCTCAACTTACACACATGACCAAAGGCCGAGCTCGTGGTCCAAAGAGAAAGGCCCCGACAGTCGCCGCGGCGTCGACCCTCAGCCAAACTGCACCGCAGCTGCCACCTGCTATAGTTGAGGCTGCCAAAGAGGACGAAGCGCCGGTGCGGGAAGTAGCAATAAATAAACTTGGTACACAACATGTGTCGACCGGCCCAGCTGGACTCGATGAGAAGCCGATAACCCCAGCCATTCAGCAGGAAGTGGACACAAAAACGACCCTTGGTAATACACCATCACTACCCCCGGTAGCCCCGGTAGCCAACACCTCAGAGCCAAGAGAGTCACTGGAGCCAGCAGCTCGACCAGTATCTCGTGGACGGCCGCTGCCTCTCGGACCAAGGGCTTCAACTCCTTCGTCACCAGCAAAGCCAAGCCCGCAACCTGAAGAGGATGCCTCCAGTGCCACGTCACCAAAGAAGCTGGACACGAAGAAAATGTCCCGATTCCTAGACGAAAGCTCTTCCAAAGACGTCCAGAGAGATACAGCTGCGGAACCGGCTTGGTTGCGCCATAAGCGCACTGGATCTCAATCACCAACCAAACTGGCTGAGCCACCGTCACCGACTAAGAGTGACCGGGACTCACTTCCATCAATGCGCGAGGCTTCCCCTCGTTCCCCTCGTTTCGGTGTTCGATCTATCCCAATTTCGAAGCCGTCTTTCGATGAACCAGTAACGCCAGGTGGTGGGCAGAGCAGAAGAGTGAGACCGCTGTCCGGACTTTCCGGCGATGGTTTGAAGTCGCCTGCCGCCATTTCATCTCCAACCCGCTCACCTACCAAGCAGATCAATGAAGTATCTGCCCTGCTGACAGAATTCTTTGGCCCCCCACAGACAAGAGACGCAATCAATGTTGATCCGGCACAAATTCTGATGAACCGTCCCGACACTAGTGATAAGGTCACGAGTCTTGGACTTCAAATGTTCCAAATCCTCGGAGACGGGAAAAAGCTGCCAGTCTCACCCCAGAACGAACGAGTCCTGTTTGAGCAGGAGATGTATGTTTGCGCACATAACTTTATCAATGGATCCGGGAAGAAGGTATTCGAGGTTTACTTCTGGGTTGGTGACGAGGTTCCCGAGTCGTCGGCCGAAGACGCCCAACTCTTTGTACAACGGGAAGCTCGCTCCCTCGGGGGCAAACTTGTTAGGTTTCAGCAGGGCAAAGAAACAGCCGAATTTGTACAAGCTCTTGGTGGTGTGATTATTGTAAGACGCGGCTCGAGCAACAAGTACGACTCGCTAGCGCCCAACATACTGTGCGGCAGACGGTATCTCGGACAAGTTGCTTTTGACGAGGTTGATTTTGCCCCATCCAGCTTATGCACTGGGTTCACGTACCTCATCACCAAAGGGGGAAACTGCTACATGTGGAAGGGCAAGGGAGGCGACGTTGCGGAAGTGAGCTGTGCAAGACTAATTGGCATGGATTTGACCCTTACGGGAGAATTGATCGAGTATGAGGACGGCAACGAACCCAAGTCGTTCTGGGACCTCTTTGGGGACGACAGCTCGAAGCCTCATTCTGCCGACCACTGGCGCCTCAAGCCCAATTACGACAAATACTGCAGCCGACTATTCTGTTCGGATGCAGACTCTCGCCAACAGGTACATCTTGTCTTTCCCTTGCAGTGCTCAGTCTAGATGCTGAATTTCAATACTAACCTGTGGATCCAGATCTTCGAACTGTCTCCATTCAACCAAGTAGACCTCCTTCCCACAAGCATCTACGTCCTCGACGCCTTCTTTGAGATGTACATCATCGTTGGATCCCGTGCAAACGCCCAATACGCATCCTTTCGCAACGCCCTTGACTTTGCACAGGAATACGCGATTTTAGCATCCGGCATGGAAGACCGCCCGTTTGTGCCAGTATCGACGGTCGTGTTGGAAGGGATACCAAGGGATTTGAAGCGGGTGTTCAGAAAGTGGGATGATGGACGGAGTCCGACGGTCACGAATGCCAGTGTCGGTCTGAAGAGGGGGAGAAGTTTGCGGATTGTTACACTTACGCAGGCGTTGCAGGCTTTGAGGGAGTGATTTGCTTCTGATGCGCTCACGAATAGCGACTTTTGGCATGGCGGTGTTTGCATCTTTATGTATACGGCACGGGGAGTCGGGGTTCACATATATGTATGTACATGAATTGTTCAGTAACTGCCCTCTTGTCGTGGCACGATTCGTGGTTTACAGGCATGCCAACAATACAATTGTTCAAAGTACATGCTTTTTTTTCGTTTTTCCTTTTTTTTTTTTTTATACCGCAAGTTGTTGTGTTTGATGCAAACATGGTCCGGACGGGTCAAAATGTGATGGAGCTTTTTGGCAGAATTTGCGCGTCGTCATGAAGAGAATGAGTCGGAGGGTCAGTGGTTAAGCATATAATTCGTTTGTACAGGCAGTACAAACAATCTATCTATGAAGGGGTATCAATCAATCATGTTTGACCTTTCCTGTATCAGTCTATTCAGAGAATAGCAACGCATCCCATCTTATTCGCGTTCTTGATGTTATTTATTTATTGGCATAGTACCTTTTTTTTTTTTTTTTGGTTTCGCTCATCTCATCCTGATATATATGTTCATCTAGGCTAGGTAGGGGGATTCTGTGGGTTGGCATGAGCCATGTACACGCTCCAGCTGGGGCAGGAGGGATATATAATGTGGGGGGGAGGAGAAAGCCACGCAGGTTCGAATTACTTGGAGTTGACGTGCACGGCGGAGCTCGCGGCCGACGAATTCTCGACGGAGGCAGGGACGGCAACGGGCCGGCCTTGGGCCTTTGCAGTCAGGGCCAAGAGCTCGGTGAGCATGAGCTCGCGCGTGGTGCGGGTGAGTTCGTCGACATCGGCGGAGGTGAGGCCCTTGGTGGGGATCGGATTCAAAACTGCAAACGACTGTCTGTCAGCAAGGGCATACAAGTGCTTCCTCCTTCTTTGTCTGTAGGGGCGAGATGAAAGTGCGTACCTTTGATGGGGACGGTTCCGGCGCGGAACACCATGCTCTTGATGTGGAGGACGTGGCTGTAGTTTGCGACGACGACGGGCACAATGGGCACGCCGGCCTGCACGGCGAGGTGGAAGGCGCCCTTTTTGAAGGGCAGCAGCACGGGGTCCTTGGCGTAGCTGCGCGTGCCCTCGGGGAACATGTAGACGCTCTGCTGCCGGGACTGGATCTCCTTGGCGGCGCCGGCCATGGCCTCCCGGGCGTCCTTGGAGTTCTTGCGGTCGATGAAGATGGAGCCGCTGAGGCGCATGAACCAGCCGAGGAAGGGGACGTGCTTGAGGTCCGACTTGGCGGTGACGCTGCACCACTTGGGGAACATGGCGCCGAGCATGAGGACGTCGAGCTCGGTCTGGTGGTTGCCGATGAAGACGGCGGGCCGGGTGGTGGCGAGGATCTTGTCCGGGTCCTCGACCTGGAAGACGATGCCCGTGGTCAGGCGCATGACGTAGTGGAAGGCGCGGGCGGTTGCCCATTGCGAGATGCCCTGCTTGCCGATGAGGGTGAAGAAGACGGAGGCGAGGACGCCGAAGACGGCGCAGATGAGGAGCGAGATGTAGGCGGCGAGGGCGCGGGCCACGAAGCCGGCCTTGGGGACGGCGAGGGACGCCATGTAGAAGAAGAGGGTGACGGCGACGTAGCCCACGAGGAAGTTGACGAGGTAGCCGACCAGGGCAGACATGTTGGCCGCGAGGAGGACAAGGTGGTGTTTGAACGGCGGGAGGCAAAGGTGGTGGCGGTGGATGAGGGGCGTCTTCCCAAGGAGATGGGGGAAGGGAAAGGAATGCGTAGAAAAGAAGAAAGAAAAAAGAGGACACCAATTTACTGCCGGCTATCCATACTCGGGCAATGCTCTCTGCTGACTAGGCCTCCAAGATGGGTTGTCGAGGCGGTTCGAGGGGATCTCGGAGGAGGGCGTTGAGAAAGTGATGAGACTGCAGATGCGAGGTGGGATGGTGGTTGAGATTGGACGAGACAATGAGACACCAGACGGGTTGACGGGCTAGGCCAGACAACGGGGGTCGGTCGGTCCCCTGGCTTGCCTCGGGCTGCGGCACGGAGCCACCGATGGAGTGACATGGAGGTACCATGTGGTCGCTAGGCTCGTCGTTAGTTCCTGACCGGCGCCGTCTTCTTCAACGGTGGGGGTTGCAGCTGGCGGGAAGTGTTTGGATGGATTAGTTAATCTTTGAATTGACTTTGCAGAGTCATTGAGCCAATTGCCCGTCATTTGCACATGTCTGGTGCTCGAGTAGGTACATACGACGAGCCGGAGTAGCCATGTACCTGGTACAAAGCACTTGGACGCAGCACTGGGCACTGACATAAAATCCCTTTGACTGCGCGCAGGTCCATTTTTCGTACCGAGCAAGGGTTCTGGCCAATAAAAAAGATTATATTAAAAGGTATAAAGCCCCTTTAAGAAACACTATAATAATAAAAGTACCAGCGATTTTTGAGTTTATAAGGAGCTACATCAGGCCTAGTAACTGACCTCGTTGCCAAAGAGGTGACTGCTACTCAGGTATCGTAAAAAATGGGTCCGCTACATCAATTGGACCTGCGCGCAGTCAAAGGGATATGCAACCAAGTAATACCTTCAATGTTTGGTGTATGTAACTTCGTACTTACTTTACGTACTCGTCCACGCCGTCACCGATGCAGAATGCCGCCGCACACATGCAATCCTGCAATCCTGGGCGTGCCGTGCCGATGCAGAGCTCAACCCGACATCACTCATTGGATTGATCGGGCATCGATCGATTAACTACTTAAGTACTTAAGTACTTATAAGTAAACAATGACTTTGTCTGACGGGGCGGCTGGCCCGTGTGCGTGCATGGTCCATGGAGTGGTGCCGGTGCTAGTAGTAGTACTACTACTAATAGCAGTCACTACTTAAGTACCTGGGCACGTACCCAAGAGTTATGAAGCGCTATGCCACTTTGGTGCCGCCTCAGACGCAGCCACTCACGCAAATATACCCGCCGCTGCTCCAGCCCAGTTGACTACACACCATCATCACCAAACGACCACCGTCCGCTTCAATTTCCATGCGCAACCTTGACCGCCATCGCCAATCCTCCTTCTGGCCACCCGGACTTCTGCCTGCGTCATTTAGTAACGTGCTTCTTCTTCGGCTAACCTCCACCCGCCTCGCATTTCATCCGCCGACGTCGCAACTCTCCCCAACGCCATCCCTCCAACGTTCCCGACACAACTGCCTAGCCACCCAATCTGCCAAGCTTCCAGCGACCTTGGAACGGAACATGCTCCTCTGAGCCTCACACGAGAGCCTCCACAATGGCAATGGCGCCATCACGCAGGAATCAACGACACCGCCAATCCTCTCTCTCTCTCTCCATCGCCCCCAATTCCGCCGTGCCCGAGCAACTTCCGCCCGTATCCGCCCTGTTTCTTATCGATTTCGACGTCAAAGCCGGCTACACCATTACCTGGAAGCGCGCCGTGCCTCATGTCGAACTGGACGGCCAGGTCGAGTACAAGTCGCTGCCGTCGGGCTTGCACACCGTTCGCCATGACTTGATTTACTTTGTCGACGGCGCCCACGCCGGCCTCAGTGCCTTTGTAAATGAGCCATGTGAGGAGGAGGAAGCTAGGAATGCCAGGATGATTGCCGTAGGGGTCCTCGTACCATTGAGCTATGGGCGACTGGGGAGAGCTTGGAGGCATGCCGAGAATTTGAAGGAGTTGGCGGCGTAAGTTTGCATCCCACTGCTTCTTACAAGAACCAAAACCACTGCTAACAGACCATCTCAGCATCTTGGCCAAAGATCGCAGTCAGACTAGTGTTTTAGAAAAGTATTGGAATTCTCACAAGGCCAGCGAGAACGAGGGACAGCCAAACGACTTGGGGCCAGGCAACCTGCCCGATTCACCAACTCAAGAGCGAAGAACACACAAGCGCAAGGGTTCGGCATCGGACGGGACCTCCTTAGCACAGGCTGAGCACAGGCTGAGTCCATTTCACCCTGCCTGGAGCTTAGTCAGTCTTTTGGACAAGTTTGGTCCTCTTATATTCCCTATCCATAGAGCAGCACTGCTACGGAAGCGGATTCTCATCTCTTGTCACGCTCCTGTTCATGAAATTTGTGACTTTGGTAAGGTCCTGACACTCCGATACCAATATGCTAAAACCCCTCTCACCAAAGAAACACATACACTAACTCATCTCAGTATACGACATTTCAATTCTTTCTAATATACCCTTCTCCGTTGCCGATAGACTCCCTCCCTCATCACCCACGCCACGCCTACGGCCCCTATTCACCATTGGCGTGCACGACATTCCCTTTCTCATGGAAGACTTTGAGGCTTCCAAGCGCCGCCAAGACGGCACCGCTGACTCCGGAGGAGAGGCTGGTTCCGGCTGGATCGCCTGCACCACAGACAGCATTCTAGCCATGAAAGACACCCTCTGGGACATGCTCATCACCATGCCCCCGGAGCACTCCACCAACGCCGTGGACAAAGTCTGGCCAACAGTAGAATACCCCCGTGGCACACCTGTCAAAGCTACCCAACGCGACCTCCGGCGCTTCAACGCCCTTCGCAGCGGCCTCATCCGCCTCGCCTCCTCCCCTCAACAGCAAGAGCCAGACTCCCCGCCCTTTAACTCCTCTGCCGTTCGCCTCTCCACCAGCCACTCCCACCGGCTCGTCAAGGACGAGGAGGACCCTCACATTGACGAGCTCATCGAGCCTCTATCGTGGGCTGCACTAGCCTACAACGGCTACATGTGGTGGGCATCCGCCGGCGAGCAGCTACGCTCCGAAGAACATGAAGAGTCCTCCCGGGACGCCGCTCTCCTTGCGGACCTCGCACCCGCACCGGCGTCCTCCCCCCGCCCCCTGTCCGAATCACTCGCCTCCCTCACCAGCCGCCGGGCATCCAACCCCGACGAAGCACGCACCGAACTCGCCATCATCGCCTACTTCCACCGTCTTACTACCCAAATGCTCTCCATAATAGTCGACCTCGTCGAGTCCGCCGACGAGGCGTATCCCTCTCCGTACAGAGACGAACAAGGCGTCGACCTAGACGACCAGGAAAGCGACGAGGCTGAGGTCTTGTTGAATAGCGGCGGTCTAGGTCTAGATGCGAATGTCATCACTGTAGATAGCCACTGTATTGAGAACATGGGTCTAGACGTGTGGAGTGCGTCCGACGCAGCGTTTGTACAAGACTTGGTCGACGCGTATTTCGGCAGGGCCGCGAGAATCGAAGGCAAGGGCGTCGAGGTCTGCGGCGTGAGGGTTTGTTAATTAAAGACGCTGCAAAGCGCTATGCTGTTTTACTTTTTTTCTTGTTTGTTTAGTTGGGTGGGATGTGAGCCCCTGGTGGGTTGTGCTGCAGGTGCATTGTATGTATATTGGTATATGTAGATTTAGACTCGAGAAGCCACCTTTCATATACACTATATTCAAGACCATTCAAGGGGGCGCGATGCAGCCAAGTTGTCACAATATCAGCCCTTGACTATTCATGATGCGTTTAATACACTATTATTTTTCTCCCTCGTACACTAGTTAGCCTGAGCACTGGTCACGTAGGAGGCAATCAACCGACCAGGTGCACAATTATTTGTTGCGACATGTCAGTCGGCAAGTAGTCACGTCATGTAAAGTAACTGGTATCCGTGCATGCACCGAGTCTACAGTAGGTGCCTGCTCCCCCTAGCCCGATTTTTCATCACCCTCAATTACTAAACAAATAGAATAATTCACAAACCCCGTCTATGACTCATCTTCAGTGTCAGTGTTGGTGTCGCTCGTTTCTTCCTCTTCCTCCTCGGTGCCGCTCTCGTCGTCCGACTCCTCGTCTACTCTCCGTCTCTTGGGCTGCGGTGCTTGACCTGTCTTGAGGGCGTGCATTTGGCCGGCGATGGAATCTACACTTGTCAGTATGCGCGTCTCTGCGGACCTCCCGGGAAAAAGGGAAAGGGGGGGGGGGGGGGGGGGGGGGTTGAATGAAAACTTACCCTCTTCGGGTTCGGAAATATCATCTTCAGCGTCCATCTCGGCTGCCTTGGCGGCTTCCTCGACAACCAGAGTCACCTCCATCTTGGTATCGAAACCAACGTACGAATCGCAAATGACGTGCATGACAAACGTGAAGTGGCCGGCTTGCGGTGGAGCGGCGAACTGTGCCTTGAGAGTCTGCATGTTGAACGTGGGCTTGCCCTGCTCGTCGAAGATGGGCTCGTCGAATCGGTCAAAGGTGAAGGGGGGCACAGCCATCTTGCCCTGCTTCGAGTCGCTCAAGAAAGCATACCATTTGGGGGTGTGGTCGCGGGCGTAGTGAGGGGCAAAAGCCAGGGGAGGGAGAATGCTCTGCTCTTCAACAGAAGTAGGCTTGCCATCAGGTCCGGTAATGGTCTTCTTCTTGCGGCCCATGAGCGCATCGAGATCGTCCTCAGCGGGGTCAACATCTTCCAGATCCAGGTCGTTGACTGCGGGAACATTCTGGGTGCCGGGGGGGATAAACCGGCCCTTGATAACCAGGGTGACGAGAGAGGACGGGATGATGCATCGCTCGCCGGTAACCTTGAAGAAGGCCTTGGCAACTCGTAGGTAGGGGAGCTGCTTGGCTACGCCGACGGCAGACTTGTACTGCTTCTCTGAAAGCAGGCCCTTTCCAACTGACAACTGGCGGCGTTGGGCATCGGGCAGATCCATAAACTGCTGGACAGTCATGTGCGTCTTGGAGTCGCCCTCGACGGCCATGGCAATCTTGGAAGTGAAGTGAGGGAGCTGGAGGAGAGGAGAAGATTTCGGAGACAGAGCTTGTATAATGTGCTGATTGGCGAGGAACGAGCCGGAAATGGGACCAATGTTGCCAAAGGCCAGGGCAATGGCAGCAAAGGACTGGTTCAGAGCGCGGGCAATGGGGGCGATATCGTACTTGGCCTTGGTCAGAGCGGCGTCGTCGAGCTCAACACGGCCGAGATAAGCCCAAAGAAGGCCCAGAACCTTGCGCCTCACACCGCTGTCGAGATCCTCAAGCCTCTCCTTGTCCTTGACTGAGAACCCAGAGGCAAAAGGTGAGGCCTCGCCCTCAGCAGAGATGCGTGATTCGATTTTGGACAAGCCAGACTCTGCCTGGTCGCCCCTGAGAACGCTCTCAAACTCCTTGCCAGCGCTAAGAGCTGCAATGATGCCAGACTCGTCCATTTCCTCGTCATAGTGGCGGAACAAGTTGTTGGCGCTCTCCATGAGAACGCCCTCCTTGGAACGCTTCTTGGTGCCGTACCACCAGGAACCGACAAGATATGGCAGCAAAACGCCGAGAAGGCCCGTGTACAGGACAACAAGGTATTTGCCGTTACCGTCGGAAACAATAAACTTGGGCAGAGCAATCCCGATGCTCATGCTCTGCTTGCCATCAGGGTGACCATACTGAATATAATTGTTGCGAACATCCTCATCGGTCAAGACTTGGTAGGCCTTGGTGAGTTGGACATAGTGTTCATTTAGAGACTCGACCGTTTCATTTTTTTCAGGATCAGGTTGGAGCTTGTCAGGGTGAAACTTGACGGACAGGCGCTTATAGTGTGACTTTATTTGGTTTTCCGAGGCAGACTGCAGACATTGTCAGTCGACTTGATGATCCGAGAGATGCACGCCAGCAGCAAAAAGGGTGAGGGGATGGGGAGGGAGGCGCATACTTCTGAGATGCCCAGAATATCGTAGGGATTCCAAAGCTTCTGCTCGGCAGGATCCGTCGTCATGATCAAATATGCCATCAGTCCCATCAAGCCCCAGCCGGCCACGGCGACAAGCGCCCTCTTGATCTTGCGCTGCTTCCTCTTCTGAGCCGCGCGTAGTGACGCCACGACGTCTCCATGCTGAATCTTGTAGTCGGTCTGTATGCGTGGGGCGAGATGCGAATCGTCTTTGCTAGACTGCAGTAGGTTGTATGTGATTGGGAGAGTGACCAGGCCGGTCAATGTGAGGATGAAGAAGGGGAAGAACTGAGCCTGGAGGGTGCGTTAGCAAAGCTGCGATGCAATCCTGCCTCGTGTCGACTGCGCATGGCAAATGGAAGAAGTGCTGTTAAATCTGGTGAGAATCTACCTGGTCATCGTATGAGTAGTCGGAACTCATTGTGGCGACAAAGGCCGAGCAGGCGAACCCTGCCGCGAGCAGGAAATAATAGCTTTCGTGTGGGTGGGCAGCAAGATCAAACAATCTGGCAGCTCGTCCGAACGCACGATGAGGCGTAATTCAATGCGCCCTTGGAGCCGTGGGTATAAATGAACAAGAATTATTAAAAGTCCCTCCTCTTTGCACAGTGGTGCGGGCGGCCGCAGATTTTATGTTTGTTGTCCGAATCACCAGGTGGCCTCAATGAAGCATCAGCAAGCACGAGGGGATCGAATTGTCTGCCCAATTTCTAAAGTGCTAAATGGTGTCCTTTCGCCGTGGCACCAAAGCCGGCGATCGGATTATCCGTGGCTCCCCCAGACCAACTTGGCTAGCGGACCACAATGCCGCCACCGTGTTCAATTCAGTAGACAGGCTGGGAAGGAGCGTCCGTCTGCGTCCAGACGTCACATGTGGTGCCAGTGCGGCCTGCCCCCTGTTGGCCCTGGGGTCTGGTGGCAGAGCCGCCGCTAGGCCGCATCGCATCGCCATGGGGCTGGTGTCAGCCACAGCAAAGGTTAACAAACCATTCAACTACAAAGTACGGAGTACTACTCGCACTTACTAACTACGTACTCCGTACTTGGGCGAAAACGGACTGCTCGAGGAATATTGATACAACGCCATCTTCTGTATTCAGACGACAGAGTGCGCAGGACCACCGTACCTGACGGCCTGTACGGAGTAAAGGGAATCCGTGTCGCGCAATGTACGACTGTCTGTGATGGAACAGACGGCGTGATATCCAACAGCACCGTCCTTCACGCAAACAAAATCACACCGCAAATCTCATACATCATTGCGCCCTGATCTAGAAATGACGTGAGCGGCCATTTTACGTCTAAACGCTCGCCATAATCAAGTGTAACAATCTCGTCATCCCACACACACCACAAGAAAAAAAAACAGCCAGCTCGTCTCAATGAGCAAAGCTGTTGAAAACATCACCACCCACCCTCAGCTCTTCTATTCCTCGACAGCAGTCAACGTAATCGCCTCTTCCCCATCCCCGTCTGTATCCTCCTCCGTCGTCACCCCCGCCATCTCCCCAACCAGCAAGCTCCTCAGGTCCTCCTCGCTCATAACTGCCTGAATACTGCCTCTCCTCGCCCACGGTCTGGTCTCCCTCCTCCCCTGTTCCACCAACCGCTCAATCTTCAACCTATTCGTCACGAATTTCAACATGGGAAACGCGCTTTGCTGTCCCTGGTGTAGCATTCGCGCTAGCCTGCTGGGATCAGGATCCGACAGAATGTAGTAAAAGTCGCTGGGGACAGACTTGGGCCAGATGGTGATTGTGCCACTGAACTCCTGGAGCCACAGCTGGCTCCAGTCCTGGCCCAGGGGGCGGGGGAGCAGTTCTGCGTAGCGCACAAACTTCAACCACTTGTTCATGTCAAGTTTGAGGTAGTGTTCAAAGGCGGACATGAGATAGCCGCCACGCCACCCGCGGCCTTTGCGATGGGTGACGGGGTGGCCCACGGAGCCGCGAGACGAAAAGAAGAACAGGTTGATGTGGGGATTGACCTGGCTAACAATGGTAAAGTTTACGTTGAAGTGCGTGTTGAGCGCCTTGATAGGGATGTCGGTTCGGAGAGAGCCGTCTTTCCATTTGTGGCCAAAGGAATAGGGCGCGAGCGTGCCGTCTCGGAGCTTCATCATGAGAACCACGGGGTTGAGGATGCCAGGGACGGCGGCGGAGGCGAGGACCGCGGACCAGATGACGCAGTCGGGGGAGGTGAGATAGTTGCATAGAATGGTGGGAGAGTGAGGATCCGCAGGGACGCAAGTGACGTTCAGAATGCGGCCGGTTCGTTCGTATGCCTCGCGAAAGGTCATTGAGCCCCTGGTCCACCAGCTACATCGCTCAGCCCAGTCGACCGAGTCGAAGCGCGCACCCGTCTTCCACCATCTTGGTAGCCAGGCGGTTGCCGGTTCTCGGCAGGCATTGATGCGGTGAGACAGCGCCGGAACCAGAAGCTTCTTCAACTCGTCGTTTGTTCTCGTGGCCACAAGCCCAGCTATCAGGGCGCCGCCGCTCGTGCCTGTGATAACGTCCGGGAGTAGATCCGCGTCCAGCAACGCCTTGACCAAGCCTAGGTGGTAATAGGCAAAGCCAGCTCCCCCCGAAAGACACAAGGCAGTGCGGCCGTAGTTGGCATAAACATGCTTGAACAGCAGGCGCTTCTCCTCAGTCCCCAACTGCTTCGTTCGCAACAGGAGCTTGATGCTCCTCTCCACTGTTGACGCATTCCATTAGCAGCCGTACGACGCCGCCCCTTCCTTGGATTCCCCATCAACTCACTCACCTTCATCGACAAAATTCTGCACCAAATTCTTGGTCCCATAGTATGTCTGACTATAGAGCCTCGCATTCTCCACGCCAACAAAGTTATTCTTGACGCACGCTTCCACCATGGATTTGAGATCCTCCATGGCAGTCCTATGATCGCCATGCTGCCGCGCGCTCTGAATCTCCTGTGCCTCGGCCTTGATCCTCAGCTTCTTCAGCTGATCCCACACCCGCTTGACCGTCTTTGAATCGTAGTAGGCGAATTCATTCTCCTCCCTCCAGGTCTGCCGTCCCAAAAACGCATCTAGTTCTCTCGCTGCGGCAACCCATTCCTTGTAGGTTGAAGCTTTGCGCATGTTCCTCCGGAGCGTTTCCCGTCGGCCGCGCCAAGTAAAGAAGTGTTCGTACACCCAAATGTACCATCGTGTTGAGAGATATGCAATTGCCAGGCCTGTCAGCCATGCAAACACAAATATCAACAGCGGCCATTTGGACAGCTGGTAAAGGTAGCCTTCCCGCGTCTCGTCCTTGGTCCGTGTGCCGAGGAGCCCTTCGACAGCTTTGCTAGCGCCTTTTTTTTGTTTACATTTCTTGGATGATCTACGGCGTCGGTAGAGAGCTGGGCTCACGGGCGCCCAGTCGTTCTGGGCCGTGAAGAATGTTCCCTGGGTCGGCGTGTCCGTCGGCGCTGGGAGGTCGCCTCCAACGGCCGCTGCAGCGGCGGCAATTGCGTCGGCACTGTCATGGTCGTTCGCATCATCCAGACCGGCTTGTGAATTTCGCTTCGTCAGGGTGGCCGGGCTGGCACCGCTCCTGGGTGACTTGAGTCCGCCCGTCTCGTCGGCTGGGCTGTGCAACGGGTCAGGAGCCTGGAGCGCCCTTACGAAGGCCTCGATGTCATGCGGCTCGAGAAACTCTCGATTGATGTCAGGCAGGAGAGATGCATCAAATGCTTCCGGTGGGAATCCGTAAACCGCATCGTGTGGCATTGTCCGCTCCCAGGCGGGTTGGCCGGCAAGTCTGCCAGCTGTTGTGATATTTGCTCGCTCGATCTGTCTGTCGATGGTGGATGTTTAGGATCGAGGCATACGGCTTCGGAATGCGAGCTCATGAAAGGGATCCCATGCTGGATACCTGTGCCTTCTTTTCAGATGAGATGTTGTGCTCCCTTCTTCGTACAGCGCGCAAGATTGAACATTGAAGGGTGAAGCCAATGTCTGGTTGTCCCCACCATTTCATGACCATGACGTCTGCTGCTCACCAGACATGCGGCCGGCCTGTGGTTACGTTCGTTGGGGGCCTTTCGGCGGCCTGGCAACTCCACTCAGATTCTTCAGAACCCACTGCACCTGTGCGCTGTTGTACAATGTTGCACCGACTCTCAGCCATGCCATCAATTGATCCCATTGACTTGGCCGTCAAACAGGGTATTAACGCAGGCAATCAATGGAACATCACTAGCAAATGGTTGGGCCGCCTAGCTGGGCAGCAAGGATGGAATGCTTGGAGGCATTCGTTCCCTTGGTCACATTGCTGATTGGCTACCGGGCTGGAGGGGGGATATTCCCAACATCTAAGTACTGTCGAGGATGCATTTGGAGGTTGAGTCTGTTGGTACATACCTGCTTAGTAGGTACTTATGCTACTATTTGTTGTTGGCTTACTACAAGGTACTTATTTTATCGTAAATATTCACACGAGTACAAATTACCAAGGTCGGCTTCCTCACGCCTAACCGATTATATCATACAGCCCAGTCACAGTCCATCCCAGCCGTCACATTACAGCAGGATATATTTGCCCAACAAGTATAAGCCAACATACTGTAGTCTATTAGAGTAAATATTATAGTACAGGTCTAATTCAGCTCCGTCCGAGGAGAATGCTACATCTCATCAATCACTCGTCCCGTCCACACATTACCCAGGTACCTCGTGCATAACAAAAAGCATTGAATTAGTTCCTAATCGCTACATAATTGTATTCGCTGCACAGCCCTATTTATGCATTACACATATTGCGCAAGCCACTTTATCCCCTCGCCATATCCCTGTCGCATAACTACAGAGCACATGAAAACCTCAATTGGTCGGACGCCGCCATCCAGAGGGACCTTTCCCTTCCCGGTGGTCTGATACAAGCCCAGTTCATGTCGGAGTGTCTCCTCCGACACGGCGTCGGGGTGGTCAATCTTGTTTCCAAGAATGACAAAGGGAACTTTGGACAATTCCTCAAGAGCAAGGAGAGCGTCGAGCTCAGCTTTCGTCTCGGCGAACCTTTCGTGATCCTTAGCGTCTACCAGGAAGACGACGCCATTGACCTCGGGGTAATAGTCTCGCCAGATGCGGCGGGCTGAGTAGAATGGTAAGTCTCTGAGAGCGCAGAGCAAGCAGGCACGCAGCCTTAGACATGATGTGTACGTACCCTGTTGGTGACCACCCAAGTCAAATGTGGTGAATCTGACATTGCCTATGGCAAGCTCCTCAGAGGCTACAACAGTACGATTAGCAAAATGTCACGTTTGTGGCAGCGAACAAGCGCACGCTGGGCCTCATCGTCTGAGTGCCCCGGGGCAGAACTCACTGGGGTGAAGAGTAGGCTGCAGGATGGCAACACGGTCGTTCTATCCAGTCCACATTGTTAGCATCGCCCATCAAACATGTCATCATCCACTGTATTCATTTTCCCGCCTCGTATTCGTATTGATCGAAAGCAGATCAACATCCCATAGAGATCGAAAGGGGGCTCGCAGTCCAACGAATGTCGCGCAAGTTTGGCATACCTTCAACATATGCAGCAACGTCGTCTTTCCGGCATTATCAAGACCGAGGAATAGTAGCTTAGCGTGCTTGTTCAACAGGCCAAGGGAGGAAAGAACATCGTAAACTAAGAAGTCGGAAAATTAGGACAAGTCAGGACACCAAAGACGCGGAGCTTTGGTATGCCATCATGACGGGGGTAACAGGCAAAAGATGGAGGGAAAAGGGATGTTTGCAGGCATACACCAGTTGACGATCCACATGGTGGGCTATATTTCTGAACCGTGTTTCCAGAGCCAGTCGAGATGATGATTGCGATCGAAAAGATGATGTTTGATATCGTGAAAATGATGTTTGGGGTCGAAAACGGATGCTGGATTGCGGACGTGATGGGCCGAAGAAATACACCAAAAATCCGTAGTGTGCACTGGCTCTGACCTGGCAGTTAACTCAAGAGTGTCCTGACGAGAAGTTGTGGTGCCTGGATCCTCAGGCACAGATGATGCTACTGTCTAGGCTGGGTCGCCGCTCCTCGGCTCAGGGAGCGTGAGCTTGCAGTGGCAAGTGGCACCTCAACTGTACAAGTGGCGCGCGACCAATCAACGCTACGAATGGGTGAACCACACACAAACTTAAGTCTGCCCAAGTGCAGTCATCTGATTGTTGTCCCGGCATCCCGAGCCCAATGTTATTAATTAAGTGTCGTTCATATTCCGGATTGTCGTATTCTGCAATCAAGTCAACCAAACCACTACAGTGTTGTTGCCGAGAGTCCTCCCAGGTACGGTTTGTCATCACACCCATCGCCAGGCAAACATGCCACTTCAGCACGAGGGACCAGTTTACTCATCACGTTCAAATGTCATTCAGAGCCAATAATATTGTATTAGCAAGAGCTCAAAAATATCCACCCTTCTGTCTTTGATGTGTAGACTTCAGCCACTATCTAAATGCCTTTCCCCGCGCCCAAACTCTCTCGCAAAGGGTATCCTAGCGATTGCAATATGCCTTCTCCAATGACAAAAAAAAAATTGACCGATGTGCAAGTTCATTTGTGGTGAGAAAGTGAAACTATATACAAGGGTGCTCACACCCGAAGCGATCCCTTTAAGGATGAGAAAGAAAAAGGTCCGAAACAAGTGGCTTTAGATATGTACAGGAAAAAAAGTCGTGGAGTCATAACATACGGACAAAAATGGAATGCATTACCCAAGTGTAGGAAGAAAGAAGTTGATAAGACTTGCCGCCAATTTGGCGCTCTTGAAAAGGGACGTAGACACCTTGAGCGCTTTTGATATAGTCCTCTGATACTCAGGACTAGCATAAGTAAGTGTAGTGATGTCTTTAGATAGACATGACATAATTGCCCTGATCCTTCTTGCCAGCCATGAGCAAGCCGAGCTCCTTCATACGCTCGGCGCCTCGCCCGGGCTGAGGCTTGCGCTCTGGAATTTGGCCACGTCTTGCGCGATTGCAGTACTTTTGGAAAAACTTTTCCTTGCGGCGTTGACGTTTGCGTTCAAGACCCTTGACGATGTCAATAGCGCCTCGAAGATGGCAGTCAGAGTCATGGTGATGCTGGTGCCTGGCTGTCTTGCTACCCTTCATGGGTGGAAACATTGCGGGAGCTCGAGGCAAAGACTTTGTTTGCGTCATGCCTGGTCGACCAGCCAAGTGGAATTGAACGTGAGGACCTTGTCGTGGCGTCTGCAACGGAGTGTTCATCGCCTTTGGTGCTGGAGACCGGATTCTCTTGGGAGAATGTCGCCCAAACAATGGCTTAGGAGAGCGACCTCGATTCTTGGGAGCAGGGGAATGATGTCGTCTTGGTGGCGGAGAGCGATATTTGCGAGGCGATGCCTGTTCACTCTTTCTTCTTCGGCGGGAGCGGTCCTGGCCATGGTGGAGATCCTCCATCCGGCCTTGAACCCATACATCCTCATCGCTGTCGTGGTGAACAGGGTTGTAGATTTCCTCCTCGTCATCATTATCGGGATCAGAAGCTGGAAAGCTGGGGTCAATATCTTGTGGAATGACTCGTAATTTCTCATTGCGGCGAGCTGCCAAGCAAGAAAGATAGGCTTCTTCTAGAGGTCTGTCCTCATCCAGGGTACCACAAACGAAATCGGTGCTGTCGGGCAGATCTGGTGCGTCGGATTCGGCCTTGATACGTCGAGGCCTAGCTCGTCGAGTGCTTGATCGGCTGCCATAGCTAGCGGCCGAGGAATCAGACTGGGGCTCATTCACCGATGGTCGTCGTATGGGAGCCACGACTTGAATCTGACGGCTAGTGGCATGGCTGGGAGTCCAGAGAACCATGTTTTCATCCTCTTCTTCGTCTTCCTCATCGGAGTCGGCGAAACCAGTCTCAGAGTCGGTGTGATAGCCATCAGAATCTTCTTGAAAATCTTCTTCGCCATCTTCTTCTAAGTCATCATCATTCTCCCCATCGTCTTCATCCTCCTCCTCCTCCTCTTCATCTTCATCTGAGCCAGCTTCAGCTTCCTCTTCTTCCAATTCTGCCTCCTCTTCGGCTTCGGCTCCGAGACGACGAAAGTGGTTTTCCTTCGTCAATGTGTCATAGATAGTTAGTCTCGTTGCCGCTGATGAAGGTTGCCTGATCCAATCTTCTTCGCGAGCTGTACCACTTGCAAATTCGTGAAACTGGGAGCTATCCTTTGCGAGATCCTTGGAGTTGGCACGGAGGAATTTCGGTCGAGCAAGGGCAATCTTATTTGACAGGCGATGAACGGCAGATGGGCGCGGCGACGTGTGAAGAGCAGTAGAGAGAGCAGACGTCTTTTTAGGAGTTGATGGTGACTCGGAATTCGTAGCCAAATGAGGTCGTGTGCCGGGATCAGAAATCTGCCTTGGAGGTGTATTTTGAGTTGATGCCGACCCTACATGAGGAGCAAACTTGATGGATGGTCGTCGGGGAGCCTGCTCTGCAGAAGGTGCCTTGACCATCGCCTCAGCTTGAGTAACGGGAGGTTTGGCAGCGCATGCAAACTGAATACATCGCTTCTTGGGAGGCTGCGGAGCGGCGGCGACGGCGAGGTGGTTCTTCTCCGCGGTGGTAATTTCATGGTGCAATCGAAGAGCAGCCATCTCGGGGATTGGAGGACTAGGAGTATTCGTGCGGCAGGGGCTCGTCATACCAGTATCACTAGTGAGATCTGCAGTGGAAGCAACACTAATGTTGCTGGTCATGGATCGTCGCCGTTGAGTGCCCAAGAGAATGGAATGAGCAGGATGTGTAGGCACCTCCTCTGGTTCAGCCAAGATAGCCTTGGTAAGAAGTGACGATTGGTCCTGAGGACGTCGAATACACGTTCTCTCAAACTTCTGATGCAGCTCTGGGGGTTCATCAACGTCCTCAGCTTCCTCTGATGTCAGAGACACCCAAGCTGGAATCTGTGAAGGGGAAGTTGTAATATCCATGGTGAGGGTATATAATTTGTTGAGTTCGAATGTAGACAAAGTAAACGGATATGACGGGTCTTGGTCATTACAACAGAGTGTGTAGGCCAGCGGCGCAATGTCAAGGAAAGAAGACCTCAGGGTATAGAATCGACACACCAGGAATCGATACTCAGCGAAGCTGTGGCCTTCCTAGGGGAGAAGGAGATAGAAGTGAGCAGAGTTCTGGTCGTAGACTTGGGAGTGTAGCGTCGCGCAGACGAGAACTACAAGCCAGTGCAGACCTCTACTCTATTGAGAGTGAGGATTTGATAAAAACTTTGGTGGCCCTTAGGACCCGGATGCTATAATCGGAAAGCAAACATATTCCAAGAAGTAGGAGCCGAGCAACTGAATGGATCGAATGAAAGAGTGTCGTCGGGGCGATTTATAAGACACCAAAGGCCGTGTTTGATGCAAGTTGAGGTGCCGCCTTTTCTTTTCCTTAGTTGCGAGGTACAAGATTACCTCACAAAGAAGATGAACACAAGACGATTCCGTTTGGCTGAAAAAGCGCAGTGGCGTCGCCTTGGTGAGAGGAAGGATGCGGTTGTACTATCCTTGGCAGATTCCAGATGACGTTTGTCGGATGGTGGCGCGATAGCGATATGCGGAAAAGGACGGCAATCCCAGCAGTCGTGGCAGCAGCGGCGTTGGACAGTCGGCCGGTTGGAGTGTTGGTGTTGCACGGGTGACCTGGGGCGAAAAAAATAAACGTGAGACCACAGGCACGTCAACCTAAGCACTGTGACGTTGTCGACGTCACAAGGCAAAACGTCGATAGAGTAAAAACGCAGGCTGCAGATGCCCAATGGGCAAAACGCGGCCGAGACGCAGAGCTGACGAGATGTCAGATGAAGCGACGAAAAAATTGCAGCAAAAGCCAATGACCAGAACGTGAGAAAGTGAAGAGGAGGGTGCTTTGGAGCAGTCGGATGGGAATATATCGAGGGTGGGCCAGGAGGGCGAGGAAAAAAAGCACAGGCGCCGCACTCAACCGGACATGGCTGGGTGGACTCTGACTCCAGTCTCCCGGCTCCTGGCTCCTGGCTCCTGGCTGCTGGGTGCGGCCAAGTGCGGCCAACGGGTCTTGCGGGCTCCAGGCTCGAGGCTTGGGGCGTGGTGGCCGAAGGTCGAGTCGCTGCCGGTGGAGCAGGAGGGTCAGAAGTCTCTAGCTTTTACCCGCCCAGCACTTGCAGCCCGTCTTGCCCGGACAGCGCTAATCGAAATGGAGCCGAGAGGGGCTCATGGGCTCATGACCGAGATTGAATTGAACACCGCACGGAGTACAGCAACAGGCACGGCGAAATTGGCGGCGCAGCCAAGTACCACACGGCATAATAATACCACACCACACGGGACACGACTGCACACCGCACTTGAATACTGAGATTGGCATGCGACATGGCCTGCTTGGCGGAGGCTCGGCCGCTTCGCCTTGCTGCTGAGCCCTGCAGACATGATCAAGACGGACCATTCCCATCATGGCCAGTTGCGTCTGACAGGCTGACGGACTGGCGCACGCCTGTCAGAGCTCCCAATCCCCGAAGTGTCCAAGGGCATGAAGTACAAAGGTTTCTCCCGTCCCAAATCACCACATTGCAACACGGGGGTCATCCGACGGCAAAATGACAGGTGGAAATAGTAGGTGCGCTCGTGCAGCATTCGAAGATAGTTTGGCAGCGAAGGCTGCTACCCAGGTAGAGAGGACTCCCGTGCTGATCCAAGACTGATCTGCTCCCGTAGCCAGCCAGCACTCCAGGAGAGGAGGGACATCTGGAGGGCTCTTCATGGCGAGTGTGGCGACAGGGCTTCACTTGGGATGAACAGCAAACCCAACTAGAATGCTGTCAGGGCTCGACAGACGTTCTCGTCGTTCCCTAGGACCGTGCCACGACCAGAGTACAGTGCGACAGTGCTTTCGGCGATTCACGGGCCACCGGACTCATGCCTGCTTCCAACCAGACACGTTCAGCGCCATTGGCTCCCTGAGAACCACTGACTGACTAGTGTTGACTACCTGCTTAGCTATGCTCGATCCCTGAGCATTTGAAACTCGGAAAGCACCGGGGTCGCTATGGCCGACAGCCTTAACATGCAGAGTCTTCAATGTTCCAAGCACGCATACTGTCCTGTGCACGGTACGCGCAGGCACCAGACCACCGCCCTCCTTTTCCTAGTAGCCAAGCAGGCCCCGCTGTTTGGCCCTTTATACTTTGTCCTCCGTCCTATGTACATATTTCGTACTTGGCTGCTTGACTGCGCTTGTTGGTATCCGCTCAAAACATTCGAGACACGTGCATGCAACCAATCCAAGCATGGTGGGAGCATGTCGCCATGCCGTCCTCGTCAGCATTCTACGGAGTAGCACCTCGTCCAGCCATTCAGCCAAGTTCACCCTACGCCCTCAGCTCCAAGCTCGCCTCGCCTGGACAAACCGGCCCTTTGGTCCTTGAAACTCTGTATGCCACCAGCAGGCTTTGGCAGTATACAGTGTAAGTTAGTGCGAATTCGCTCCCAGGATCCGTGTGTACGCACAGTGCCTCTTTACCGTAACCACAAAAACGAGGGCGTCGGTGACAACTACTACCTAGGTGTGTACACCAGACACATTGGTGGATGGATCATGGCCACCTGTTGCTATAATAGTAACTACCTAGGTGCCGAGGACATATGGGCATAATATACATCCAGCACAACACAAACTAAGAGGCGGATACGGAAACCAGTCCTCTGCATATCGGGGTGCGGTTCGTGGCCAGCGATACGGAGCTCGAGCGTTCCATTTAGCATCAAGTTACGAGATGATACATCACAATGGACCACTGGCCGCACTACAGCCAGTGCCTCCACTACCTGTACTGCCCGGTCCTGTTTTTATTTAGCCGTGACGCTGTTCGTATGTCGTTGGATCTACGATTCAAAGTCACCATTCTCAAGGGATTATAGGACTGGGCTGTGGGAGTTCGCGTCCCGGTTAATCAATGAGGGAACATGAGCATTATTTCCAATGTGCTGGTAGACCTCAGCCTCTGTCATGTGTTCCTGGCGGCATCTTTTATCTTGGCGAGGGCAATATGGATTCGGTTTCGGATACTGACGGTGCTTAGGCTGAGGTTCCCAACGAGTGATGTCGCTCCGGCGCCGATAAATTGGCCTTTGGTGATGTAGTATATTTCTCCATCATGCATCTTGTGTTGAGCTAGGATCTGAAAAAGCTGAATCTGGAAAGGGCGGCGACAGCTCTCGTCGCCATGCTGCGACTCTGGGACGCGATGGTATGTCACTACTTGACGAATTTTGGGTGTCGCGAAGTTGCCATAGTGACTTGCAGGGTCGAGCATCAAGGCACAGGGTTCAATGTTGGGCAGTTTTGGTAGCAAGGCTACAGAGCGCATAGCAACATTGAAGGACGCACTGTGCTGTCTCACCCAAAGGACCAAGGCAGGTACGGACATGGAGTCCTCAAGTGCTCGAGTCAAAAAATTATTCCTACAGGCCGTTGAGAACCAATGGTGGTAGGGATTGGCCTCTTTGTTTGTAACAACACTAATAAGACGCCCTCGGTAAGTCATCAATGGCAACAATGCTGGTCTATTGATGTTTCGTCCAGTCTAACATTCAACTCAAACAGTGCCCTGGCTCGGTGCTCAGCCGTGTTTTTCACAGGTGTCATTGGAACTGTCCATCGACCTGGACCGTCGCATTGAATTCGGTCCGTCGTACGGCAATGGTCTGCGCACGAGGGACTAGTATAACGAGTAGCTCGACAAAGTTGCAGACATCAAGGCACTGGACCTTTTCGGCCGACACAAGGTTGTTCTGGAACTCTCCCGTCTGTGTCACCACTGGCGAAGGGTGCACATGTGTGTGATTGGGCCTTCGAACCATTGAGCCATTTAGTAACCATGTCGCAGAAACAAACCCGCCGACAGACACGCTTTTCGACGCCATAGATCTAGGCTTACTCCATTCAGTAGGCGCTAGTGAATGAAAATATGCTAGGGCAAACAAATTGTATGAGGGATATCCGACAAATTAAGGAGGGAAAAACAAAAAACAAGGCGCCACTTGTAAGGACGACGCTACCAACCCAACACAACACATGGTCTGGCTCATGATTGCCCTTTTTCTGCCAGCACGCGGCGCCTGGCTACCCAGAATAGCACTACGTACGGCGTGCCAGACACGTACAATCTCTCTCTGATGGCTGGCGGGTTTGCTGGAATGCCCATCTCGAGCGAGGTGGCGCCGATCTGCACGTTGCAAGATTGACAGTATGGTAATACAACAGCACCGCGTGCGTGTAGGAAGATGCCGCAAAGGGAAGGGCACCAACATTGGCGCTTGCAACGCATGGTGTCTGGGACAAGAGCTGAATCGATGAATATCCTCCTGGTCATTCCAGAGAGGCCGACTGCGTCACGGTGTCCTCCCTCACCCCTATCCCCACGGGTTATGACGACAGTGCTTCCGGCTGCAAGCCATCTGCATGTGAGTATGATGGGTGGTGGTGCAGCAGATTGTCCATCGTGACTAGCATCTCAAAATGGCTGAGACACGCGAAAAGGTTGGTGCCAAAATCCGCACTTGGCGCTGAATGAGGCGATTCTCATTGCACGTATTTGTACACGGCAAAGACGAGCTGTCGGAACGGGGGCTGCCATTTACATCCATTGACGGCGCACGACTGCTGCCGTACGATGATGCCACATGTATTATGACGACAAACCCCCTTGTGAACCGGAAAGTCTATTGGCCACCATCTTGGCCAATTTGAAGTCGACTCTGACTAGTATCTGTCTGTCTGTCTGTCTGTCCGTCTGCAGGGAACGTTTGGCTAGAACCGAGGCAGCTCGTCTATGTACGGGATCTGCATGCATGCATGCAATTGATCCATCACTTGTTTCAATGTCCAGGGCTGCACTATGTACATGCCCATTCAGCGGGATCTACATATCTAGTCGAATAAACCGCCGCCAACTCAAGATAATAGACCGATTGAAGCTCCAGTGAGGAGGGTGTTTAGAGATTGGGAGCAGAACGAAACCATGCGGCGCCCCCGTACCACTCGGTACCTCAATCTAGCCGTGCTCACCAACACTGCCCCTTATGTCTAGTCATGTCACGACTTTGGTTCTTATTTGGCTTCTACGGAGCACTCAGTTGATCTTTAGCAATAGTAGTAGATGAAAAGACCCTGTCAGGTGCTGGCTTCGTCTCATGACATTCTAGAGGACCAGGGATGTTTTCGAAGCGAATGAACTCCTACCCCGCATCTTGAGCTCAAGGTGATTGCTTCGCGGCTTGAGCGCGTACGAGGAATACCACGTCGACGTATGTACGTACATTCAACACAGTCCAAGAACTCCACGAAGAGGACGCACCTCCGAGTTGACCAGTGACGGGACTGACATGTGGGGTGGCTTTGATCTTCGTCTACTCCGCAGCTCGATGCAGATTGCTCTGTTGCAAGGTGTGTGGGCGGCTCGTTTCGAAGCTTGCGTTGGCATTACCCACGAGTCACACTCTCCGCTCGGCATTGCAGAGCCGTGGCGCCACCGTGAAACTTCCCCAGCCCGGCCAGACACCTTTCGAGCCAAGAGTGAGTTCACTCTAGCGGTGAGAAGACGACCGCCGAGGAGCCACAGAACGAAGCCAGAAGGGTTGTGGGCCGAGTGGTGATTCTTGACGATGGTGATCACAACCACGCCGGCAATCTCGCGAGCAATACCGAGCACAAAGGAAATCGATAAGCCGCACACGAGTTGTTGGAGCAATGCGGAGTGATCAGCAGGTATGCGTCCTATCCTTGCCAAACCCCCGTGTCCGAAACAAGTTGCATTTAGCCCGGCCCATGCTTTGGTATTTCTTGGTATGGAAGCAGGCATTGTACAAAGCACAAATATCCATAATGGCATGGCTATGCTTTTGCAGAGACGCGGACAGATGTGGCCCCGATGCGTTTCTGTGCAACATGTCGCACAGCTTGATAAACTTGTACTAACCATAAATTCACAGGCCTTTCCAGATGTAACATGCGGAGAAATCCTTCGGGAAATCAACATCATCCATCGCTTGTGATACGTCCAAATGGCACCATCGGCCGGGGCGTCAATGACACCGTATTGATGCAGGACCCTAGATTCAATCCGACCCGTGCCCATTGCACAGACAATTCGTTTCAGCCCATGAATAGCTCGGTGTGGGCTGGCAGCAGTACTAATATCGGGGTGACGCAATAGTCATGGGTGCTTCACGAGGTTTGAGAGCAATGCCATCTTACGACGATGCTGAATTTCTCAAACACGAACAGCCAATCGTGGCACGTCCTCGATGTCACCCACCTGAGACAAACGCCGAGGCTCATCTCAAAGTATTTCTTTTTTTTTTTATGTTGCTTCGGTGCGTCACAGCGGCCAGAGTTAAATTCTAATCATAAATTTGCACAGACAGGACTGAAAGCTACGGTCGGAAAGTGGGTTTTTGGCCTTTGCAGTCTAGCACCGGGAGCGTTGTGAAATTTCCGAGATTCGACCTGAGGATACGATACATACCGAGCACCCGTGCAACAAGGAGGAGCTGAAATTCCATGTACAATGCCAGAAACTAACAAACCCCATTTGTATTTTGCCAAATATTACAGTAGCACGCCTTCATGGCGATCAGCATGCGATTACGGTACATACTACACGGAGATGCGACGCTGTTCTATCCTCGTACTCTCATCATTTGTCGGAGCAGCTTGGCACGTATGCCGGCACAGGCAATTCTTAACAGCATAGTGGTATCATTATTCAACGCACCGCGGTAGTTTCCGTCAGGGATGAGGCACGGCTTTTGCCAGTCTATTGTGTCCGGGGACTCCGACACTTTAGAAAGCATCAAGTTATTTCCTGTTTGTTAGTATGGCGCGAATTGGAATGCACTCTGGACATGGAGGTAGAATGGATGTCGTCTCCCAGTTAGCCACGCGCGGTAGGATAGAGCTAGTGGTAGTTTCTTCGTGGAGCATCTCTTGATACGTGGCAAGCTCGGTTCTTACACAAGGATAACCCACAGCATCTCCCCAGTCGCATGGATTTGGTCGCCGCCACTAGGGGAATGTTCTTGGCGTTGTTGTAAAGATCGACATCCCCAAACGCGTCAGTCCCCAAGTGCCGAAGCGGGATCTACGCGCCGCTTAAAGAACGATTTTCGAGATACCCTACACTCAAAGGTCCGCCATATGATCGGTACATTGATGGCTAAGGGGATGTGAGTAACTCAAGAGGTTGAGGTGCGACGACCATGAATGGCCTGAACAACGTAGGAAAAGGATCGCCCAAGTGCCAGCAAATCTAAGAGTCGAATGGGTGAACGGAACGGTCTTGATATCAGAAGGTTTGGTGTAGGGTAAGCTATAAGTTAGATACTGCTTCCCACACGTACCACATGCTTTCCAACAAGCTGCAATACTGGTTCAAAATACCACCATGCAAAACGGACTGACATTTCCATCCATATAGCCTTCAAACAGACGTGATTTTGGCACTGATCGACCAAGTGTCATCCCGCTGTTGCTTGCTGTATGACAACACTCAAGATCGCACCTCGGGATGAAACCAAATAAGTCACGTGCACACACACGTGACAGGATCGGTCGGATTTTCCCGCTAGCCGAACAGCCTGGCGTCCCGGTAAAGAATCGTTACAGAGGACCTCATTTGAGCTCACGTTCAATTAACATCTCAATCACCCCCTCCAATTCATCATGAACTCCCTCCGCCTCGCCCGTGCGGCTGTTCGAGCTCGCCCTGCAGCCTTTCGGGCTGTCGCCCAGCGGAGAACCTACGCTGAGGCCGTTCCCGACAAGGTAGAAACCGAACCCCGAAAGCATTGAAATATCGCGAACCCCATGAGGCATAACTAACCTGTTTCTCCAGATCAAGCTGTCTCTGTCTCTGCCTCACCAGGTATGAAGTCCCCGATGAAGAAAAAGCGATTGCGAATAATATGAATGCGCAATTGGGCCCTGAGCCCGTTCCTTTGGCATCCCCGCCCGCGCGACAGAAATCGGAATACGGCTAATTAACGCAACTCTTCCTATAGTCCATCTACCGATCCCAGGACGTTATTCAGGTCAACATCCCCGCCGAGTCTGGTGAAATGGGTGTCTTGGCCAACCACGTTCCTTCCATTGAGCAGCTCAAGCCTGGTATTGTTGAGGTGGTTGAGGAGAGCGCTGGGTCTAAGCAATTCTTCCGTATGTGGCGCCCCGTTCTTCATCGATATTTAGACACACCGGTCGGAGAGCATTGGCCCAGTAAGTTGGTGTCAGGACATGGGCTAACAACGAATTGTAGTCGCTGGTGGGTTCGCCACCGTTCAGCCCAACTCTACCATGAGCATCAACGCTATCGAGGGTTACCCGTTGGAGGACTTCAGCGCCGAGGCGGTCCGAGCTGGTATTGCCGAGGCCCAGAAGGTTGCCAGCGGCAGCGGAAGCGAGCAGGATATTGCTGAGGCTAAGATTGAGCTAGAGGTGCGTTGTTACCAACCAACAACATTGTTCGCGTTGGGATTTGAGTTGCATACTAACTCGTGGCAGGTTCTTGAGACTCTTGCTGCCCATGTGAAATAGACGGCGTCCCTTGTCTGAACTCATGTACATCACCCTTTTTCTACAATTATTAGCATCGGACCAAGACAATTAATACCAGTTGTGGTGCGGCTATCCATCAATCATATTCCTTTTGTGCAAAATGACTCTGGCTGTTATGTTTGCGTGTTGATTTTTGTTCACTGGTCGATATGCTCCTTCCACCTGACCTCGCCTCAATTGTTGCTGGGTAGATACACAGACCCGGTCCTTCCGACTCTGCCTCAGAAATGCATACTACTTCTGCCGCGTGCTCTTCATGTTTATCTTGAGTCCCTTGGTAAGGCATGTCGGGCACATTACACTGTCGCTGCATCCGCTTCAATTTTGTATTTTATTTTGCCACCCAAAAGTTAATGGCACACTGCTTAACAACTAGCACCAACATATTCGATACAAACTCATTATTTTCTCACAGAAACAACGCCACAGCGTGCCACTCTGCGCCTCTTGGCTTTGTGGGCATTCGTATACAGCAACTCGTATCTATCGCGCGCTGTCAGCCAGCCGTGGCACACGCAAAATCTAGCATGGACGAAGCGCAAGACGATGGAAAGCTCGGATAGGGTCGTCGAGCGGACACGCATTTTGCTACCCCGGCTTCTCGAAATATTATCAGCCATGATATTCCATCAGTTTCTCTCGAGCACACATTTATTGGACGCACCCTAGCAAGACATAGCTATAATGTGGTACACAGGACGGCCCGTGGCTCGTCCTCCGATGAAAGCCTGCCATTGCACGGTCAGAGTTGCTCAGATGGCTTACTGTTAGATGTTGGAAATAGGCAATGATGATGTAGTACATGTTAACATGTGTTTAGGGCATTGGCGTCTTCCAACACGGACGGTGCATTAGACGAGAAGTCCCACCCGGATGCAGTTGGGCAAGTCCAAGATGCCTTGGCACTTTTCGACTCGTACGGGGTCCCGCGGCCAGAAGGACTGTCTCTGAGTCGGAAAAGGCAGCCTGAAGCTTCCCATGACAAGACATTGCAGTTGTGCCATTCCTGTGGAGAGGTCCTTTCGTATGAGCAGCAGTGTTCCAAGTGTGGGCATGACTTTTGCTACAAGTGTGCCTCTGAAAGGGCCTGCAGGAGGTCAAGTATTGCGGGAGAATTACAAAAGTCGACGTCTGTCCAACTCCATAGTGAGCACCCCGACGGCCCAGAAATCGACGGAGCATCGACCTTGACTCCTGTAGTCAGTCCTGAAAGACCAAAGGAAACACCAAAGCGAGGACCTGTTACAACTAACCCATTTTATTTGGCTGATCGTTTGTCCAAAACACCCTCGTCGGCCCCCCAGATTACGAAATCAAGCGCTCGAGCTAGACGGCCGAGACGGCTCTCGGATTGTGTACCGCGCCGATTCAGAAATAGATCCGCTAGTGAATCTGTTGAGGAATCTAGCCCAGGACAGCTGGATGAAAAGAATAGCCGTGGTCCTGACACCGAGACGCATAGTCTTTGTTGTTCGGCCCCAATGAATGCGACAAAAGTCCAGAAGAACCAGCCAGAAGGCGTCTTGAGTGTTAACTTGCAAAGAAGATTCGACGAGCTTTCTCGACATGCGGAAGACCTCCACAAGGCCCAATATCTCAGGGAGCATCTTTCCACTGCCATAGACGAACTGGATTGTGGCAGTGATGTCTCAACAAGTCCTAGGAGCGTTGTCGCCAGAGATCAGCCCAGCATGGAAACTCCGACGAAGCAGCTGCGCCACTCACGTTTGCATGATTTGAGTGAAGATTCCAAATATGCCTTTGGTATGGTGTTCAATTCCCATGACATTGAGCAAGATGCCGTCACAAGCCGTCTCCGACCAGAGGAAGCACACGTAAGGGGTTATAGTACCCATTCGATCTTTACGATTCCAAGCTCTAGTAAGCTGAGCCCCAACGACTCACTTTCAGTGACAAAAGAGGCCAAACCTTGCGAGCCTCGCACTTGTCTAAAGCTACCATCCAACAAGCATGTTTCAAATGTTGAGGATATTGGTTGCAGCAGCCCGCAAACACCTAGACGATCGAGCGGCGGCGAGGAGCCTAATGAAAACAGCCGCATTTTCGGTGCCGATACTCTACATTCCCATGGGACAGATGCAAGTAGCCCAGATGCTTTGCCAGATGATCAACGTGACACAAACCGGGCTGGGACAGACTTACCAAGCACGACTGGTTACAAGCGCCACAGGCAAAATACACATTTGTGTCCCAGACCACAAACTCCAAGCACAGGGCCAGATTCTTGGCCCATTCTCAAGAAGGTCGGGCAGTCGCCACGGGAAAAGCCATTGTTGATTCCGAATTCAGTACCATGGTCTCGACCCTCCCTTCGAAAAGTCTCTAGTGCTGTGGGTTTTATCGAGCCGCGGAGTACTTGCTCTACACCATCCGAGTGGAGAAGGGATTCAAGAAAGACTGATGAACCGGCACAAGTATCTCCCTCTAAAACTATACCAGCGGGCACGCCAGTATCAGAATGGCGAAGTAGTCTGACGAAACCTGAGAGGACCACTCCGAGGGCTTCCCGCAGAAGCCCGCTCTGTGAGTCTTGCAATCCAACCCTACGCAAGCCATCTACAGCCAAGGGTGGAACGTCTGGAAGGTGTAGCCACAGGGACAGCCATTCCGGCCACACGCACAAGAGCAATTATAGTATGGAAGACCCGTTTACAGAACCGAGATTGAGTGTTCGGGCCATCGAGCATTCGCTAGCTTGGAAGAGAGTCCAAGAGGATATTGAAAGACGGGTTAACCGGGATGCGGATGAAGTACCTTTGCCATTGAATAGAGGCCTCGTATTTGATAAAGAAGAACAAGAGACTGAAAACACGTGTCGAAAGCCTCCAGAGTCGTCTCATTCCTGCAACTAGGGGGGCAGAGACAGGGATCTGGGAAACGAAATGGCGGGTACCGAAGCCATGATGGAACCATACGAGCCAAGCAACAAGTGGGCAGAGAAAGTGCCTCCTCGTCTTGAGGCAACTGCAGCAGACGAATTGGGAATTGAAGGGTTGACGATCGTTGTTCACATGAGACATAGGGATGATTTAGTAGTCAGCACAGATCTCCATGGGCGCGAATACAAGGGAAAGTGACGAGGAGTAGGACCCCGGAGGCAAGGGGAAAAGAGGTGTTGCCATTAGATAGTTTGGTAGTTGATTAGTTGTATTAATTCAGGCTGAGGTGGTACACGCCATCCAATCCATACATGGACTCGACAAACAGCGGCGTCTCTATTTCAAATGTGCAGGCTTAGCCCGGCGGCGTACTCTGACAGCCTATCGACCTCGATATCATGGGTAAAGACGATCTGATCTTTGAGAATCTCCAAGGGCCACCGCAACCAGGCCTGCCACTCGGCGGGCAAGTGCCTCGCAATAGCCCTCACCTCCCTGGGACCGGCGTCGCCCACCCACCAGAAGCCTCGCAGCATGGCCAGGAGCGCAAAGTAGTGGGCCATGACGACGAGGGCGCGCGGCCTCTTCTCGTCGACCATGTCGACGAAGCGGGCGTCGACGAGCAGCGGGAAGACGACGAGGCGGCGGGCGACGCTGCCGGGGGGCCGGCGATCCAGCATGGCGGCCCAGACGGCGGCGACGCAGTTGAGCGCGGAGAGGTAGGCGTCGCGGACGTCAGCGTCCCAGGGCTCGTCGAGCTCGTGGGCGAGCTGGCGGCGCAGGAGATGGGCGAGCGGCCCCTCGAGCGGGCGCGGCTCGCCCTCGCCGAGCAGGTCCGCCACCAGGCCGACCATCTGCATGCCGATAGAGCCCGGGTCCATGGCGGTGATGGCGGCGGAGCGGCGGAAGACGGCGGCGCTGGTGCCCGTCATGCGCAGCCACGACGTGGGCGGCGCGTAGGGCGCCCCCTCGCCGTCGCCGTCGCGCAGCTCGCGCTCCTGGAGGCGGACAAAGGTGTAGATGCGGAGGACGCTGGCGGCGAGGCACACGGCGTCGACGTTGGCCGGCGAGAGGTGCTCGATCTCGCGGCCGAGCTCGCGCACCGCCATGTCGAGGTAGGCGCTGGCGTGATGGTCGAGGGACCCGGGCCCGGAGCCGGAGCCTGAGCCGGACTCGCCGCCGGCGCCGTTGGACTTTTTGGCCCGGTGCAGCGCCGCCACGAGGAACAGCGAGTACAGCAGCGCGTTGCACCCCAGGGCCAGCTGGGGCACCTTGTCTGCCCAGAGCGGGAGCGAGGCCTCGTCGACGGCGATGGACGGGCCCGTCTCCGACAGGTACTGGTAGAAGAGGGAGAGTTCGAGCATGCGCCGGGCTTCGGACTCGGGAGGGTCCGCGGCGCTCCCCGGGTCTGCGGTCTCCTTGGCCGCCGCGGACGGGGACGACGACGACGACGGTGATGAAAGAGGAGGAGGGGGCGCATGGTCAGCTGGTTTGACGCGGTCGTAGAGGCAGTTCAGATGGAGGCGGGTGCAGTTTGAGCATATCGGTTTCGCTTCGTCGCACTAGACGCACGGCGTTTTTGGCCTGGTTGAGTTGACATGTTGTATTTCTTTTTTTTTTTTTTTGTTGATGGAATTTTCTAAAGGCTCACCTTGACGCGGCGCACTCTGCATCGCTGGCAGCCTGTCCTCGACTTTTTGTGAAATAGCTTGGCTGGCCGCTTCTGCCCCGGCTGCATGGACTCGAGGCCGTTTGCGCACGCGGAACCACCGTCCATCTTGGCCTGCATACGCTATCGTCTGCAGTGACTTATGGGCCGTGTTAAACCTCCCTCGTCTCAGAAAGATGTGCGGTTGAAAGAAAAAAAGAAACTAGCGATTCGAGCTGAGTGGTTTGAACGAGAACGAAGGTGGGAAAGCGGGCGGGGGAGGTTTATGAAACACCGGGGGAGCGGTGCGAACCCCTCCAGTGGACATGGGAGATGGCGGGAGAAACTCGGAAAGGAGTCTAGAAGGACGGCAAATACCGAATCGAGATGTTTCAATTCCGGGCTGGAAAGGAGGCACCATGTTCGTCGTGGTGGTGACGCCGCGAGCGAGGGGGCCGTTGCTTCGAATGTTTGCTTGGCCCGGCCCCGCAGGGCTGACGGGGAGTTGGTGTGACGGGAAGGTGCGATCGGGTGGAGCGCTGACAGGAATGGGATGGAAAGCGGCCCACTCGAACCCCGCAAATTGCCCGAATGGGTATCCTTTTGTTCGTTATCGTTTATGGCATTTCGGGAAGGGGAACGAGTCGCATGTTGGATATATTACTACATACTAGTTCGTGGCAGTAGCTGCATCTGGGCTATGGGGTGGTATGGTTTATGAATGCTGCTCGCTTGGTTGTGCTCGCGCTCGTGCTCGTGCTCGTTTACATGGGAGACCAGGTGTCGAGTCGAACAGTTGGACATGGCTGGAGGTGGTGTTGACGCAGACATATGAATATATATATATATACTGTAGATGATGTCGAGGAATCAAGTTTCTCTCTCTATCTAGTGTATAATATAACGGCAGTACATCTAAATCACACCAGACGCTTCATTTCATATTTTCCACTCACCAAGCCCTCACTCATTGTTCGCTTGACGAACCATTGAATCCACGCCAATGTCTGAAGCCAAGACCAACCAAGGCCCTGGCCCCCTCGAGCCGGTCAAGCGATATCTTGTCAAGAGTATTGCTAGTGGCATAGGCTTAGCGTCAGAAGGTATAACCTCGTACAAGGAGCGAAAGAGGCTGCGCAGAGCCGGTCCTTTTGTCGACGCGGCGCCTCCCTCATACATGCCTCCATCTCCTGGATCCTCGGACGAAGCAGCAACACCTCCTCTTTCCCACCACGAACTCAGTGACGACTACAAGGATGAAAAACTATGGAAGTTGGACGAGGCTCAAGATGAGTTGAGTCCACCCCCTTACGCCGAACGCGCAACAACCCCCGACGGAAGCACCGAGGAAACGACGCCGGCCCAATCCCTCCAAAGCATAGAAGACTTCCTTGAAAGATATCCTGCCCCGGAGAACAGCACGGCATTCACCAAATCCAAGCTCCCCCAACCAGTCATTCTTCCCCAAAAGAGACCCAAGACTCGATCCCGTGGCTTCATCAGAGCATACGCCCCTTGTCTAGGACCATGCGGAATCCCGCAAGACATGTTTCTCGACTTTATAACCACGTTTGACAAGTCTACCCAGGCATCCCCGTGGCTGGACGCAATCAACCTCGCGTCCATAGGACTCAGCTTCATCCCCCACTTCCCCATGCTCGTCGGCATCGCCATCCAGGTCTCCATCATGGCCGCCAAGGACGTCCAGAATAGAACCAGGACCAACTCGTTCCTGGACAAGGCAAACGAGCAGGTCTTCACGCCCCGCGGCCTCTACTGCATCATCATGACGTACAGCCCCGACCAAGACGACCGAGACGACGGCAACGGCCGCCGCCTGGCCGGAGGAGCAAACGTGCCGGCGGCGATTGCCTCCACAGCGAGCAGCACGAGCCTGCAAAGGTTCCAGCACCGTTTCCGCGAAGCAAGCGGCCACACCTGCGAGGCCGAGCTGCCCCCGTCCGCGCCCCTCATCTTCCCGTGCCTGGAGGAGGGCGTGTGCGGCCGAGAGCCGCAGGCGTCCGGGACCCCGGGGGAGAGGATGAAGCGCGCGCAGAGGTACATCACCGACTACTACGACAAGCGGGCACAGGCGCGGTTTGCGGGAAAGCACGGCGGGAGCGGGCTCGTCAAGGGGCCGGCGCCCAGCTTCACCTCCCGGTTCGCGGACCCGAACCACCCGGCGTGCAGCGGCTCGTTCCGGTCCCTCATCACGGGCGGCTACATCACGCCGCCGGACATGGGGCGCGGCAGAGAAGAGCTAGACCGGCCGTCGAGCCCGGCCTACCTAGACCCAGGACAGGGACAGGCGGCCGGCTGGCAGCAGCCCCCGTGTCCGGCTGGTCGGCGAGACGCGGCCGCCACGGGCCGAGATGTCCTTCGGCTCGGGCCAGTCGGGCTCCCTACGCCGGGGGCCCTCGTCAAAAAGGCTTTGAAAAAGGTACGTGAAAAAAAAAAAAAAAAAACCCACAGAGACAATTTCCTCTGCTGGGCACAACCTAGATGTAATTATGGGGACAAAAGTAACTCTCTTGCCTAGAACATCCTGTACATGATGATTGTCAACATGCCCTCGGAGCAAGAGCTCGCCCTCGCAGCGCAGCACCTCGAGCGGTGCCGCTCCAAGGGCATCTCGATAGCCAGCCTGGTCACTCACCTGCAAGGTCGTTGAAACGAAAAAAAAAAAATAATAACAATAAACCGTGTCAAGCGGTACACATAGACGCCAGGCTCGTACTCCATGCTTTTGTCACAGTGACATTGGGCAAGACGACGCTCTCTTTCTCTCCCTCTCGCTCTCCCTCTCCCTGTCTGTTGATCATGTCTCGTCACCGCAACGAGGGTGAAAAATTATGACGCGTCACATTCCCCCAGCCTTACAGCAGGGGCAGGGGCTTGTTATCCCGCAAACCCTTACACCGTATGATTCAAGAAAGATACTTAAAAAAAAAAAAAAAAAAATACCCCGTACATGTCGATACACCGCATGCGACGCGCAAGGTTTTTCGAGCGTCCACAGGCCCTCTCGGCATGTCGACTATATGTACAGGTGCGTTTCTGTGTTCCAGCGGTGAAAGAAAACCCCCCTCCATGGGCTCCACTGTACACCGACATGAGTACATCCTACACCGATCACTCACGAACCGTTCATGGCCGTGTCTCGTCTGCATCGTGGATGGGTGCGCAGGATACGGCCGGGGAAATAGGGCCGGGGGTGGTTGGGTTCGTGCCTGTGCGTCTTGGGGAGGACAGGGATTTTTTGCCATGGCACGACGGGGGCGCCGCGGCATCGCAGTCCAGTCTCGTCGCCCTTGAGCCGTCGTTGGGCTGAGGTGCAGCCTGGTTTGGCGTTGGGATATTGATTGAAACGTGCTTGGATGCATGTCCATCCATGCATGTATGGACTATGTCTATGTACATATGTATGCAATGCGTGTACCAGTGTGATGGGCTAGATACGAGACAAGGCCATGTCGGGACATCAGATGGAAGGAAAAGGCGTCATTTGGGGCCATCAAGTCCAACAGCGGCTGTGCAACTTCATACATGCCATCACACCCCAGTCTACTCCGTAGTTCGGCAGAGCATTCAAGCTATCATGCATCTCTCTCTATTCATCAAGTGATGAACCCCCCGTGTCTGTGATGTATGCCATGTGAAATGTCTATTTTGCTTTATTTTAGCCCTAAAGGTCGCTAGGGACCCTTGCTCTTCTCTCTCTCTCTCTCTCTCTCGTCCCTCCTCCCTCCCTCCATCCCTCTCTCCCCTCCCTCTTCCTTTTTTTACATCCTAAACTTAAACAGCTCCAGCCCGGTTGTCCCTACGTCCACTCGAAATAATGCACCGCCATAGTCGCGGCTGGTCTTGTCTTCACCGTCTTCATCTGCCGCGGATGTAATAATCAGTTCGGTACCGACAAACTGCACACAGGTAATGTTGCGCGTCGGCAGAGTAACCTGCCCTATTACTTTGCCCTCAGGATTGATCTTGAGCACTTTGCTCTCGCCGTACACAGCGGTCCACAAGTTGCCATCCACATCGATGCGAAACCCATCCGGCTCTCCGGATGTGGGGTGCTTGTAGAACAGTCGGTGGTCGGAAACTGCACCCGAGACGGTGTCGTAGTCGAGGACAAAAATTTGACGAGCCTTGGAATGAGTGTAGTACATGGTCTTATTGTCAGGAGACCAGCCTATTGAGTTGGGGATCGTCAGACCCTTGACCATTTCCTCTTTCCCGTCTTTGCTAAACCGGAATAGAGAACCTGCGTGACAAGATGTCGTGGTTAGGGTATATCACAGCGGCCAGTTCTGGTTTTGGCAGCCACGGGAGCGGCAGTCAACGAGCTCACCTTCTGGCCGGAACTCTCCCTGCCCAAAGTCCGTCATGCTGCCAACCCAAAATAATCCGTGGGGATCGGCTGCTCCGTCGTTGCTGCGCAAGCGTTCGTTGTCCGGGTCGTTGAACCGTGCTAGCATTTCGTATGCTCCCGTCTCCCGGTCAAGACCTGCCAAGCCATATTTGACGCCAAGGAGGATGCGTTCTCTCGGGTCGATTCCCTCGATATCAGCAGTTACCGTCGGACAAATATCAAGTTGGATGGTGTGTAATGAGGACAAGCCCCTGCTGAGGGACACTGTGTGCACACGCTTCTTCTTGATGTCAACAAATCGTAGAGAGTCGGTTCCTTTCTCATAAAATGGTCCCTCCGCCAAGGAGCAGTGGAGGTCAAGCCAGGGAGTGGCTACTGTCCAATGCTGCATTTTTTTCGCCTCCTGGAAAGTGTATCTTGTGGCTGCCGCGATTGTGTGCATTCAGCAGCAATATTCAGAGGGCGGTGCACAAGGAGACGCAAGTCGTAGTCCTAGGAGCCAAGTTGGACGGCGGCACGGAGTAGATGATGTGGGCTTTTTGGTCGTGGTTGTGGTGGTGGGGTAATTTGTCGTGTGTGGTTGCTCGACCCGAATTGAGAGATTGGCCGGTCCCACGACATAAGGCTGTCCTTCTCTGTTGTTCCAACAATGATAGTTGCAACTTTTCGGCCAACATATAGGCCAGAGAGGCGGGTGCGTTGAATAGGTTGGTAGGGCTGTGCTACCTACCGCGCGATACTCTCTCTTCACGCACAATCGAATCCGCATATACCGTATAGGCTGCCCTCGACAATTGTAACTGAGCTCAATGTCAAGGCGGCCACAAAGTTAAGCTTTCTATAAGTACCTAGGTAGTTGTGTGACTTGACGTCTGCGCTAGACATCGATTCAAGCAAAGGGCAGGACAACTAAAGCGTTCCCAAGCACCATTCTATTACTTGCTAGTAATCGCATGGTCGAGGATCGGCCTACCAGAACTCGTTGACAGAGATGCCGCTGTGCCAGCAAATGAGGTATATTCGACTCCTACATTCCAGTCGCGTGGCATTGCTCGTCCACCTGGTTCCGAATTCACACGGCAGCCGTTGTCCAGTCTGGTCGCTACCATGTGTCAAGGTGAGTGAGGCGACGGTGAGCACCAGCGTCTTGCCTGATTTGTTGTCTGTAATGGCCAAGTACGGCGAGAGTTGACCAAAGCATTTTGAGGTACACCAATTCACGTGGATGTCTCTCAATGCGGTTGGGTTGCTCAGCTCCCTGTGCCTAGGGGTCCATATCAGGTCGAGGACCCGTTTCCCGTCCCGCTGTCCTTGCTGACCGCTGCTTTTGCCCAGGAGTTCGCCGTTGTGCTGCTGAAACTCGTCGTTCGCCCCATTTTTGCCACCGGGGAATACGGAACGGCCCTTTAGGCACTGACGAGCTGTTTATCCACAGCCGTGAGCAACCCCCCTCAACAAATCACAGCCAACGCATCGGAATGCAGAATTTGAGTGGTCGGTTTGCCATCCGTCGCCAACGTCGTAGTATGTAGGTGCGGTTTGTGGCGCTAGCCAATGTGCCACGGCTACGGAGTATCTTGGGAAGTTGGGCATTCCACTCTATGGAGCACATAGTAAGGAACCTTCGCATTCACAATGCGTGGCACCAACACAACATCAGGCACCAACAACACCAATATCGCGAAGGCCAACCGGAGGCATCGTGTGCGGATCATGAGCGTTGGTTCGTGCTGCCTCGGCCGCACCGCTGGTTGTATTTGCTTTCTTTGCGCTTTAGCTGGGCCCGAAAGAGACCGAAGACAGATACATCTCCACTGCACTAGCTGGCCCACAGGCCGCTCTAATAGGTTTCTGTGTCCTGACTTGGCAAGATGGCTGTTTCTCTGTCTACCAAAATGGTCAGGCCAGTCGTGGTCTGGTGCCGGACTAGGAACAGCCAGATCTGTTGTCAGTTATGCCAGAGGAGAGATGAGCTGACGGACCAAACGAGACTCATCAGAATCGGATCACAAGCGGGGCCTGCATGAACCAACCGAACACTGACTACGAGCGATGTCAGGCTGAAAGGCATTAGTTGCAGATGATATGCAAGCCATAAGACAGATGGCCTCGATATGAAGTCAATTTGAATCTGCTCTGGAGGAACACTCGACGCTACAGTACTCCGTAGTTATTGTATGTCGCAAGCAAGACACGTTGTCCCGACTTGTTCGCCTTGCTAATTGTCCTAAGCGATCCGCAGGGCGCAAAAGCCAGCCCGAGAGAAATACTTGGCGTTCCTAAGTATTAGTAGCAGTACGTAGTAGTAGTACTACATCTTAATCTTCCATCGGCCCAGTGAGAAAAACAGGTTGGCAAGCGAACCAGAGTAATGGAAATGATAATTTCGGCTCCCGGATTTGCACAGGCCGCGATACCAACGTAACTACTCCGTAATCGCGACCGGATGCATCTAAACCAACACTTGTTTTCCTGATGCATGACAGGTTCCGAGTTCGGGGGCGGCCCCGTACAATCTTGCCTCTGTAGGTTCTCCGATCTTAGACCGCATCGCAGGCTGCTGGCGGTGGTGATGATATGCGGTTAGGTTGTATCCGTGCCATGCGGAGGGGCGTGTTGCATGGCAGCAGCATTGGAGCCATCAAATATACGCCGCTATTCTCTACTCCGTACAAAGCAGTAGTACTGCTACTCCCTCCAAAGTACGGAGTATATGATTGGTATGGGTAGGCTCCTTCCGTGCAGCACTCCGTATGTGTGTGTGAGATGCGATCTGCCGGCCGTCTTTGTTTCCCTTGTCATCTTATTGGCAATGGGCGGACGGCGTGGAATGGCGTACGGGTCAATTGATATTAAAACCCTCCAAAAAAAAAACCGTATACGTAGGGTACGTCGTGGTGAGTCAGGCCCGGTGTCATGGAGAATGTTCTCATTCGTAGTTACGAAGTACCGGGATTACATTGAATCAATTTTTTGTCTGAAGCTCGAATGGCCCCGGTCCGGTCAGAATTCCCGGCCATTTCGAAAAAGAAAAAAAAAAAGAAAAGAAAAAAAGAACTAACTCGGTTGGTAAGGCCATCTGGGCCAAGGATCCGTCGATGGGTGGCATGATGCAAGACTTGCTCCATCTCAACAACAATAAGCGGCAATGCCCGCAGGGCTATTTTGGCCCCGGTATGAATCCCCCGATGTCATTTCGCATCTCATTTCGCCGCCATCTCATCAGTCAGTTGACATGCAGATCATCCGCCTGAAGAGGGACCAGGGTCCCAATCACCCATTCCAGGGCACTGCTAATATTATCATTCTGTCTTGCCCGAACGAGGCTGACAGCGGTACCCATGCCTCAATGGTGACGAGTGGATGCTGCGTCGGACCTGTTCCATATTTCGTCACAGCACCAAAGTCTTGGGTTGCTGCCGTGAGAACACTTGCAGGTACGGGAGCAGACGGGGGACTGAGGCACGACGCCACGACCACATCCAGGGTTGTTGGCATCGTCAATATTAGTCGGCTGAGGTAATATGAGTACCCCGAAATTAGGCAATCACACGGGTGAATAGCATTGGCTGTCAAATGAAGAGCTCGTAAAGGCGCACTAATAAACCTTGGTGCAACGTGCCGGCCATGATTCTCAGAACGAAACCTTCAATGCCACCCGGACAAGCCTGAGTTGGGATCTTTGTCGTTGCAATGAATGGCGCCTAATTGCCTCGGTAGCCATAGAGGCGTATCGACCTGACGGGCACTTGGAACCCCAACATGCTGCTGTCATCAATTGGTAGGAAGCTGGAACATGCCCATCAACTTAACCACAGCGCTGGATCCAGTAGCAACATGCTCTCGTGGCTGGCGTGCTGGCATCTGGACGGGTGACAGGGGGGTGCCAGTGGGTCTCCCAGCCATTGCTTTTCGACAAGGATGAAAGAGCTGGTGGTGCATGCTGTGAACCATGGTGGAGAGTGTTTTCTCCCAGGAAGGCCCAATAGTTTGTGAACCTCTACTACAGGTATCTGTGCGGCAAGGGAAGAGGGTTCCAAGGTGAGGTGTCCGAAGCTGGAGTGCTGCAACACTGCATGTGGGTGATATCACAGCCGATCAACTTTTTGGCAGTAGATCACATCGTCGGGGGGAAGCCACGTAGGAAATGCCAAAATGCCAGGTCAGGTGCCTAGGGTGCACAGCATGGAGTACCATCCATGCCACATCTGTCTAGAGCAAGCGTAGAAATATCCGTATGCATTCGATCAGTCAGAGTTGGGCCGTGCAACACTGAAAGTGTAGATTCGAAATGTGGCCTCTGTGTACGGAGTAGGCAATTGGAGACTGGGTTCATAATAAGATGCACCATGACCGGAAATAGCCGCCTAGGGAAACCATCGCTCGTGAGCAGATGATTGTCGGGTTTGTTGCGTTAGGGTTTTCCCATGGGCCGTTGGCGGGTTGTCTTCCAAGTGATTCCTCCACGAAGACTAAAATCGAACATCTTGACCTATACCGTACTGTCAGTTCTCTGAAGAGTACTCTGTATACTACAGAGAGTAGTGTCTTACGCGGAAACAGCGAGACAAAACTGTCAAACTGGTAGAGTCACCATGTCTAGGATAACAGACATTTGGCTCGCGAGAGTCGTGGTGGAACGCGCCGCCGCGACGCTTGGACGAGATGCTGAACCATGGAGATATGGATACATGATGAGACCAGAGGATCGTAGTCCGTACCTCACGAGACATGACTCACTTGTAGTAACCGCAAAGCCATCGGGTCATCGGTTTCGTCGATGCAATCCTCTATGTTAGTTGAATTATGTATCATTGGAGCCGGTGTCCAAGTTCCTGTGCAGGCTGCCAAGGCAAGGTGGTTTGAGTTGTAACCCAATCCTCAGCCATTTCAGCGGGCCATTTTCGCCGCAAACTGGCCATTGAAGGAATTGGGCTCACCCAATTATGTCGCTCTGACATCTGATGGGTATAAAAAGCACGAAAGCTTCGAAGGCAGTTGGTAGCAGCCATTTCGAAGTTGGACTGGTTTGGAAGCTGTTTCCGAGAGCTTCAATGTTGTGTTGGCGTTAGTGTGGAGCTGCTTGACACTTGATGGGCCTGGCGGCAAGTGCAAAGGGCTCGAATATTTTGCTCCTGCACTTTCCGTCTGTCTGCTGTCGACAGTCTTGGCCCCCACCCTCTGGAGTGGTCCTCGATGCCAAACTGGTGCGACAGAACTGCTATTCTCCCTGATATCACTTGAATATACTACTCGCGGGCGGCCAGCCTTATTAGAAATGAGCTGGTTCCGAGCTAGCATGTCCGGGTGTCGAGTGGCTTTTCCGCTTCGATAAATTCATCACCATCAGCTGAGTACATGTGCGAAATACTCGGGCCAGTCGTCAAGGTT